TTTTTATTAAGTATAATACAACAATCTACATTTATTCAAATACAGTTAAGTCGTCTTCTTCTGGAACCTGACAGGGGGAGCCGACTTTGTTGGTGGGGCTGGCCCTAGTGATGCGTGAACTCCTTTCCCCTGGCCGTTCGCATGTGAGCAATAGGATGCCTGCGACCGAGGTTACCACCCGCGTACCCGCACAAGTGGGAAGGAGCTGTGGCAGATAAAAGGTATTCCAGTCTTCCTTACTGGTCTGCACTGGAATGCATGGTATGGCTATGCAGATACACTGCATAGCCACACTCATCACTAGGTCTTATTATCAGGGTAGGGCTTATACTTAACAAAAGCATAGAAATCCTGCTAGGGCTTATTTCGGGGGTAGGTCTTATTTTCGAGGAAACATGGTAGGACAATACCTCCTTTAGCCAGAAACTCAATGAAAAAAAGAAACATCAAAACAAAACAAAAAGGAAATATCACATTTACCCTGGGCTGGTAAAAGGGTGGTGAGGAAATAAGGCCAATTAATGAATATCAAGAGGGATGCCGGCACCCATGCTCCAAGAGGTGTGGGGCCCAGCTTTGCAGGGCACCCACACTATGGGGAAATGTCATGATGAGAACGGTCTCCATTACACCACGGCACCAGTGACCTCTGTGCAGAGGACACTGAGAAGAAGCCAGTCCTTCAGCGGTGTGACTCCTCCAAGGAACCTCTCCACCCAGTCAGTCTGTGTTCCCTTGCTGTACTTCATGGGACACCCCTTTGATACCTCTGTGTCTTTCTGCTAGACGGACTCTGAAAATTCTGAGCTCAAAAATATCAATGGACAGTATAGAGGTTAAGAATTAGGGTGAAGGGCTTAACTACAACTTGAATTTTGCCTAACGAATGCAAACAATGTAACCTAATCATTTGCACTCTCCCGTTAATCTGAAATTAAAAAAAAAAAAAGAATTAGGTTCTAGAGCCTGGTTTGTTTCTCTGTTCTGTGACTTTGGGAAATTACTCAGCCTCCTCATCTACACAGTGGAAATAATAATAGGTGAGTTCAGATTAGTGTGAGGACTAATTTATACTAAATCAAACATGCTTAGAACAATGCCTACACGTGATAAGCTTTCAGCACACACTCAGGACTGTGCTTGTCTGTGTGGCAGCCCCAGATAAAGAGAACTGAATAGAACACACCACAGAACGCAGCTCCTGTGACGCGCCGCCTGGTCTCTGCACCTTCTCTGACCGGCTGCTTGGCTCACGGGGCAGAGGGCTCAGGGTGCAGAATTACCAAACTGCTGTCATTAGAGTCCACTCACCTCAACCCATGTTTGTTGCTAAACTAGATCCTAAAGGCAAAAGGTGAATTAGCCTCCATCTCTGCCCTCGAACCACTTTTTGTTAGCTTGTTTGCATTTTTTAAATTTAAATCATAGCTATGTACATTAATGCAGTCATGGGGTACAGTGTGCTGGTTATATATATATATATATACATATATTATTATTATTTTTTTTTGAGACAGAATTGCTACCCTGTTGCCCTGAGTAGAGTGCTGCGGCATCTTAGAGGTGGTCTGGTGCTGTCAGGCTCCCCTCTGCGGGCTCATGGCAACCTCAAACTAGCTGGGACTACAGGTGCCTGCCACAATGACTGGCTAGTCTTTCTTTTTTTGAGACAGATTCTCACTCTGTTGCCCTGGGCAGAGTGCCATGGTGTCATCACAGCTCACAGCAGCCTCCAACTCTTAAGCTTGAACAATCCTCCTGCCTCAGCCTCCCAAGCAGCTGGGAGTACAGGTGAGCACCACCATGACTGGCTAGTTTTTCTGTTTTTCCCTGAGCTCAAGCAAGGTCCCCCCACCCCCCACCCCCGACCTCCCAGAGTGCTAGGATTACAGGTGTGAGCCACTGGTTGAATAGGAGAGACACAAACAAATAGACTGCAGTATGATCAGGAAATCTGTTCGGGGTACACTCTGCTTTTCTCTGTTGGGGCCCATGACACTGTCTCTGGCCCCGGCCCGGGGCCTCCTTGGAGCCAGGACACTAGGTCTCCAGCCCCAGCCCCCGAAACTGTCTGGATGTGGGCTGCTGCGCCAGCTTACTCGGGGTAGGTCTTGTTCAGGTCTCAGGTGCCAAAGCACCTTAGAAGTCACAGTCAGTGTTAGTAGGGGCTAGCATCTCAGCAGCAGTCTTAGTAGGGGAGCATCAGTCAGGCATCCTCCGAGTGAGAAGTGGAGCCACAGGAGGAGGCCGGCTAACTTCTCCCAACGTTATTTATAGAAGTGATTCCGTGGCCGCCTGTGCCACAGGTGTAGAGACTGCTAACCAATGATGTACATACTTTTGTGCTCTTGTGCGTCTCACTAACGAGGGCCAATAATGTCAAATCCCTTCTCTAAATCCCACCCCCCTTTTTTTTTGCAGTTTTTGGCTGGGGCTGGGTTTGAACCCACCACCTCCTGTCTATGGGGCCGGCGCCCTCCTCCTTGAGCCACAGGCCTCGCCCCCCAATCCCTTATTGCTAAGGTATTTCTCACAGGTGCCTCCTACATTCCTCAATTACTTTTCTAGTTGTTCCAGAATTATTTTCTTACACTTGGTGGCTAATTTTTCCTTGGTAGGAGAGGGATGACTCCATAAAAGTGACACACGACTGGATGTTAAATGAACAAATAGGAACTTGCCAGGAGAACAAGAGAGCGGAAGAAATTGCAGTGGTTTGTCTCACAGGTGACCGCCGTCAACTCCCACCACCTCCAGACAGACAAGCAAGCTCATACGCCCCCATTGAGAGGCAGAGGCTATGTCTCTGGGCCTTCGAATCTCGCCAGGCCTGTGACCCAAAGACTATGGCAGAAATGATGCTGAGAATTTCTGAGGCTGGACCGTAAAAAGCCTTGTAGCGTCCACCTGGGTGTCTCAGACTGTACACTCAGTGGGAAGCCTGCTGCCATATAAGTTCAACTCCCCTGAGACTGCCATGCCATGGGGAAGCCCAGGCAGCTCCAGAGGGAGCTCACGTGGAGGGAGGGAGAGAGATGCCTAGCTAGCCCCCACTGAGGCTCATTCATAATAACTGACCATGTTAAGCCACTAAGTTTTGGGTAGTTTGCCCTGCAGTGATCGATGGCCAGGACAGATGTCCTAGATACCGTCAGGGACTGTGCAAGGTGGGGGGTGTGACTCACACGGTATTTCCGAGTTCTGCAATGCAGTTGTGGTAGCCGGAATTCAGTGTGGCAGGGTAGGGCGAACAGTCCAAAGGCCAGCAAAAGCCCAAGTGGGGAGAAACGTGTGTGCACCAGAGCAAGCTCCGACTTTGCTCCTAGGTCAGGGGGGCCACTGAGGGGTTCTAATAAGGACGTGACTTGGATGAACGTGTTTCAAAGAGAGCATCTTTCAGAGAATGAGAAGAGCCACGCAGAGGCCCAAAGACCAGCTGGGAGGCTGCTGACGTGGCAAAGAGAAGTGGAGGTCCTGGAGGGGAGGGAGGGGCTGCCAGGGGTGGGGAGCCTGCGGTTTGAGGCCACATGTGGCCTGCTGGATCCTTGAACGCAGCCTTTTGATTAAATCTGAATTTTACAGAACAAATCCTTTCAATAAAGAGATTATTCTGGCTCGGCGCCTGTGGCTCAAGCGGCTAAGGCGCCAGCCACATACACCTAAGGTGGCG